CAACAAACAAAATGATAAGGTGTACGCACACAGTAGTGAAGAAGCGAGCAACCGTATTCCGCGTGTCCAACGAGGTCATTTTCCATCCTCGCTCATGGTATGGTTGGGAGTTTCTTATTGGGGCTTAACAGAGGTACATTTTTGTGAGAAAGGTGTTAAAACGAATGCAGTTGTGTATCAAAATACAGTCCTGACGAACATTGTAGAACCTGTTTCTCATACCATGTTCAATAACAGGCACTGGGTATTCCAATAAGATTCGGCGCCAGCTCATAGAGCGAAGAGCACACAAAACTGGCTGGCGGCGCGTGAAATCGACTTCATCCGGCACGAAGACTGGCCTTCCTCCAGTCCAGATTTGAATCCGTTAGATTATAAGATATGGCAACACTTGGAGGAAAAAGCGTGCTCAAAGCCTCATCCCAATTTGGAGTCACTCAAGACATCTTTGTAATCAATCGAGGTCCATGTCAATCGATATTGACATGGACCTCGTTCGTGCTGCGATAGACGACTGGCCGCGCAGATTGAAGGCCTGTATTCAAAATCACGGATTTCATTTTGAATAAACTTTAGTGTCATAAGAATCTATGTTTTGTTAAGTTCATTTTGGTATATGAATGGTTACATAATGAATAAACTTGTTTCAATTATTTTACATTAAATATGTGACAGAATTTATGACCTGACTAGGTATACTCAACAACGACGAATTAAATGCGATAGTGGAAGTTGACGATACTCAATCTACTACTGAAATAGCAGCAGCTTTCAACGTTAGCATCAAAATAATATTGATCAATTTACGTCAAATTGGCAAGGTAAAAAAACTTGATAAGTGGGTAACAAAGTGAAAAATCGCCAGCGCGACGAACACTTTCGACGTGCAACTAACCTAAGCATCATCCAGCTGAGTTTCTCGCCGGATCTTCTTAGCAATTCCGATCCAGTAGTAGATTCATTCGCAAAGCAGCAACTCTTGAGTTGTTAGGTCTCCTTTCGAGGCGCTCGGGTGGCTGTTACCAAATCCCACCCCTCCTGGCTGAGCCCTTGCTCGCCCATCTGTACTGGTGAAACTGGAAAGGCCTCCAGGCCACCATTAATCCCTCAATTATTAAAAAAAACATTAAAAGAGAAGCACCAGAATTACCACGGATGTGGTAAAGACACCACCACAATGTTAAAGAAGCTCGCGAATCTCGGGCCTGTCTAAGTTAGTCGCTGCTCCTATACGACAACGCTCGACATCATACGTCATAACAGACGCTCTCTAAGCTACCAGAAATAGAGTAGAAAGTTTTACATCATCCACCTTACAGTCATCAGACCTTGCACCGAGAGATTTCTACTTTTTCCAGAATTTAGAAAACTTCTTGGTAGGGAAAACTTCGATACCCGAGACAGTACAAAATGCCTTTGAAGAGTTAGCTTCCGTACAGTTAACTTCTTCAAGAAAGCATGGAATATTTACCAATGCGCTGCCAAAGATGCAATGATACCTTGAGTACATATTATGGTTGATAGTAATAAAAAATTTTTTATGAAAAAATTACACTAACTTTCTGGATAGTTAAAGGCGACTACATAGGTCAATATCTAATATATACATATATTAGTAATATATAGTTAAATTTATAATTAAACATTATAAATTATTACATGCAAGTTCCCTATTCGTAATCGCAATACAATAATGTTCGTAAGATATTTGCAAGATGCGTGGAACAATGAAAACCATTTTTCCGGAACATCTATTGTTTGCACAAAATACCTTTCCATTGAACGCAAACCTACAATAGATTGATATTGGCTTACAGCTTTTAACAATGCAATACAATACCAGAGCAGAAATCACATTTATTAAATGGTAAAACATTTTTCACTTTACTTTCTGACTCTCGTGTAGAAAGTGTTTTCTGAAAAGATCAACAGCTATGAAGAAAATTTTAAGCCTACTACTTTTTTTATACTCGTTATTTCAATCTGGTGAGGTTATTTTTTTTTCTCAATGTCTATTATGTCTTCAGCACTCTTCAATTGTTTTTGTTTTATGCAGGTTCAATGGATGATGGAAGTTATTCGGTTAGAAATCAAGATTTACAAGCCAATAAATCGTTTTGGCCTTTTCCAATGACCGGTGCTCGTAAGCGATCCAGGCCTTGCCCCAAAAGATTACATTTCGGGGATAATGACAACGAATGGATCCCTTCATTCAGAGCACAGGTCAAGTCCTCGAACAACCATCAAAATACTTTAAACGTTTCGCCAGCAAACGAATATCAGCAAATCCAACGACAGCCCAGTAAATATTTCGAAGCGCAAACTAATTTACGTGACTCTGCTACAACCGAAAATATATTTTATCAATATTTACAGCAGCAACAAAATAACGAAATTCCTAGTGCTGAGAGAAATATTTCCGCAGCAACCACCAATAATGAGAGTGTTGGTAAAAATCTTCGTGATATTCATTTTGAAAAAATTCAAGATGATGAGGTTGAAAATATTGATAACGCTATTTCCTATTTATCAAAGTCAAATAATCCACAAACAGTAGATGAAATATCAAGCAATGAGAATGTTGAATGTGAACCCACATCTTCAGAGGAAGCAGACAGTAGAAGAACTAAATTAGATAAATCAATGGTTTACGTTACTGTTACCGAAAAGCTTATAAAATGTATACCGATAAAATCGTTCACGGAAACTGAACAATTAAAACATTTGAGCTCAAGCGATGTCAATGTCGTATACAGAAAAAATGCTGATCGTCTCAATCGTAAACAAAATTTTGAAACAAAGAAAATACTTGTAGATGACACGAAAAACGCAAAGTTTGACAAGCAAACCGGAGTATCATTTAATAATCATGAAATGCCTAGAGCTGGAGATACACAAGTAGCATCACTGCACAACACTAGAATTTGCTATGCTTGTAGTTCTGTTAGTGATCCAACTTGCTGGATGCCTGATAAGATGACAACAGTGAAGTACTGCCGGAAAGGGCACAACACATGCATTTCAAAAACCATTAAGAGTAACAGTGGGTTGATTTTGAATTAATAAACAAATTGCTACATCTATTTTCGATACAAATTTAGTGACTTCACTAAATTAACAGATTTAAATTAATAAAAATTGTTTTTTTTCTTTCAGATGAGCTAATCATGGTTCGTGATTGTGGAGTGTCGTGCGAAGCTAACTCTTTCCCCGATTTGATACCGCGTTACGAATCCTGCTCAGTTTGTCATACCGATTTTTGTAATAGTGCTTCTATTGTAGGCCATAATTTCCTACTTTTATATTTAGTAATTACTGTTTTAAAATATGCACTCGCATACTTTTCTTAAATAACTCTAATAAGAAATCATTGCAAACTGTAACATAATACTGCAATTTAATGAAAATTACTCTTTTAATGTGGGTTGAATAATTCACAAAGGAACATTATGAACAAGAAATAGTTAAAATATTATCATGTATTTACGTTTTACGTTACACTATTGACTATTCGATTTCATAAGGCGCTTACAGAGATTTTAATTTTCTTATCAAAAGTAGGTAAAGGGTTTTACTACGCAAAATGCAAGCGTTACTTTCTTCCTGGTATGAGTAACTGTAACCACTCACTATCATGTCGAAAATTCTACATACGAAGACCGTAAAAAGATTTCGATAACCGGCCATGTAAGCTCAATTCTTATGAGTTAGCCCTAATACGGTAAATAATTATTGATCAAAGTTAAAAGCGATAGTCATCAGCCACCATATAATATTTTTTAATTATGTAGTAAGTATGTATATACATACTAGAATACGACAACTTGGTGTATTCATTCGACACATATAAAAGAAAATCCTATTTTTAGTAACATTAAAATTTTAAAAAGAATCAAATGTAACACAATAAAACATATTAAAATATACAAATAAGTTGTTTTACTTCTTCGATTCTTAATCATTAAAAGTTTCTTCTTCTTTATCATTTCAAATTAAAAATAATTATTTTTTGTTTGTTTCTAAGATGGGGAATACAACACGACAAACAAGTCCAGTAAGTTTAACCTATTAAATATACTTAAATGTGAATATCGCTAATATGTATAATGAATACTGAAGTCACGAGTTAAAGTTGTGGATTAGTAAGTAGTAGTAATTATTTCTTTTCTTTCCTTGTAATCTGTCCATTCTATCATTATTTTCACACATATCCCTCCTGGCTGCACAATTTCTAACCCTGCATCCATACCATCCATCTAAACATACCATCTAATTTTGACCCAAACGTTTGAAAGGATGTATACCAATTGGATAGTAGATTTTTATCTAATTGTTTTCACTTGACTAGCCCGGTGGCGCAGTAAGTAGCGTCCTTGACTGCTGAGCTGGGAGTCGTAGGTTCGATTCTCACTTCGGGCAAAAATTCGTTTGACTTTTTTTTTAAATCCTGCCTATGCTGATAGCCTTGAGAGGCTATTTCAGCTTCACCCTAACGTGTAGGTGAACTCACGGGGCTCAAACTGGAGTGTTGCTATAGCTGGTCCTAGCAAGAGCAGTGCTTCACAGAATCTACCACCGGATCGGAAACGCGACCCACTGAGAATATCCGGCGAGAAACTCAGCGGGCAACGTTTGACGAAGAGGTTTATTTGTTTCTGGTTGTTCAATATCTACTATATCTTAATCTTTAAACATAATTATGTGTGTATATTCTCAGTCTCTTCAATCTTTAGTTCTCATAATACAAAAAATCCTAAGTTTGAGTCAAATAAATGTACGTGCGTAATATAGAGAAAAAAAAACCTAACAATAATGTCGCTTATTTTTCGTAAAGCCCATTCGCATGAACGAGATTCCCGACACCGTAAATTACATCGAAATGAATCACCAGAGGTCCACCAGCAGTAAAACGTAAAAATGACCTCATTAACAACATGCTAGAGATCAAAGTACAAAAAGTCCATGAATAGATCAAACTTGTGATATGAGAAACATTTCCGCATTTTATGACGGATTCATTAACAAAGCTCTTGGGTAAAACTAAATAAACTTAAGAGCTATAACATAATTGGACCGTTTCATTTGCTTGCAGAAATGAATTAAAAAAAACTCTAGTTATGCAATGAATACACATAAATTTGTATAATCATATATATGGTAATAATACTCGTAATCCACTATCATATGCCCACTTTAATTGAGAAAGAGCTTAATCACTTGGAAACTTCAAACATGATGTTGAAAAATTTTCAAATTAGCTTTTTTGTATTTATTTTCCTACCTCTGCTGATAGCCTTGAGCTTCTCTTTGATGTGTAGGTGAGCTCACGAGGCTCTAACCGAGAGTGTTGCTAACACTGGCCCTAGCAAAAGGAATGCTTCACAGAATCTACCACCGGATCTGAAACGCGACCCACTGAAAAGATCCGGCGTGAAACTCAACAAAGCTCACTGTGAAGAAAGCATTCTGTTATTAGACATAATATAAACTTTTATTTATTATTTTGTTGTTAAAACCAGGACTTATTTCTTTCTTTCAATGAAACGACATAGCACCTTTTGGTGGTAATGCAGTTTACTTGTATAATTCAGGAGGTACAATTGTTTTGTATTCCGGTAACAAAATAACATGGACGAGATAGACGAGATGGATAGGCAGTTCATGGTTATTCATGAGAATGGAAAACATTGCGAAGCACTTCGCCACATTCACAATCGCCAGTACATTGATCAATCTTGCCAATGCACAAATAGGTATATTTTATACAGAAATCAAATTCATAAAATTGTAAAGTTAAAATATATTTTTTATTTTAAAATCAGTAAAATTGTAAATATATTTCGAACAATATTAGAAAAGTGTACTCGGTATTATGTTTCGTAATCAAATAATTTGATGTGTATGCAACGTCTTTAAAACCAGTGAACCCTATTTTTATGAAATTCGGTATGGGAATATTTGAGCCCTGAAAAAGAATACGCCTAAGCTACTGTTCATCTAGTTCAGATCGCACGTCACGGGCGAAAAACTTGAAAAGTACATTAGTCTGAGGTACTTTATCACATATTCTATTCCATTTCTGAGTTTTGAGTACTTTAATGTTTACTGATTCATTTCATGTGCATCACAAGCAATATGTCTAGTTTTCGAGTAAAATGAACAAGAGATAGATTTAATTGAGAAAACACCATTCGGATATTAAATAGAAATTAAGTTTGAACAAACCCAGGTTCTCATTAATATTTTAATTATATTCCTTACTGAGAGCAGGAATAATGAAATGTATTTCGATTTAATTAATATGTATACATTTTTCAGGCTATCAAATAAATAAAGCTGTACATCTACGAATAAAACCAATTCTAAAACGTTTATTAAAACAAACCTTTACTACTTACTTTACAAACAAAATGTTACTTTGTATTCCACAAGAAAATTTTATTCGGAAACAATTAGATGGATATAGTATAACTAAAAACGGAGAAAACGAATTTTATACGCGCTGTTATCAGAAGATCCAGATCGTAAACTCGGAGCTAAAACCTCTTAATAGCTACGTCGGCAACAATTTATTCAAATTCTTGCTTATAAAGTGTTCGTTTGGTGGACGGACACAAGCTTGAATAATACCGAACGTTTTGGAATGTTTGCGGAAACGTTCCTATAAAACTGTCGTAAACGCAAATACAGTACAAAACAATAGTAATACATTTAGTTAGCTTGTTGGCTCAAGTATTACATACCTGTTTATCCATTACACACAGTAACTGGTAAAAGCTATTTTCATTTATTAGTAAATTGTGTTGGGTGTCGAATGAAACAGGCAAACTGTATTTTTAATTAACGGTAAGTAAATATGATTAGGTATTTATTGCAATTTCATTAATCTTATACCTTTAAACGAGCAATTCTCATTACTTAAATAATCTGAATCTCGAAAACGACTCCAACGATTTTCATAAAATTTAGTATACAGGGGATTTCGGGGCGATAAATCGATCTAGCTACGATTTATTTTCAGAAAATGTTGTTTTATTCGTGTTTTCAATAATCAACTCTTCCCGACGTCTATTGGCGAATAATAATACTATTTTTCTTAATTGAGGGCAACTAACCGCTTTAAAGACACAACAAGATGGCGTTATCAAAAAAAAAACCGGTCATCATCTAGTGTAATTTATATAAGCGAATGAGGGGAATTCTTAAGAAGCAATAATTTTGATTCAGATCAAAGAATATATTTTTGCAAGGTAGTGCAATACCAAAATGCGATTTACAAAATTAAATCGGACCGAAGGCCCGCGAGATTGTGAACGTTGCGCATTTTCATTCGAAGATGCGACTCTATGTGGTTTGCAGCTTGCAATCTTTCAATCGGAAGCGAAATTATATGCGAAATTATAGTCGAAAAGTGTTCCTGTTCTTCAAATAGTTTATTACGTAGTTCTTAAATGCATTTTATCATTAAGAAATCGCCCACAAAACCGGTTATTCATTATTGCGCACAGAAAAAATAAATATGACAAATAATTTGACAATTACAAATATCACATCACATACTTTTACATGAAAACACGGAAAGATAATGAACATAATTTCCTTTTTTCTAGTCGTAAACATATCTAAAACTACTTTTATTTTTTAATCATCCTTTTTTTTTTATTGCTTAGATGGGTGGACGAGCTCACAGCCCACCTGATATTAAGTGGTTACTGGAGCCCATAGACATCTACAACGTAAATGCGCCACCCACCTTGAGATATAAGTTCTGAGATATATGAGATATAAGGTCTCACTATAGTTACAACGGCTGCCCCACCCTTCAAACTGAAACGCATTATTGCTTCTCGGAAGAAATAGGCGGGGCGGTTGTACCTACCCGTGCGGACTCACAAGAGGTCCTACCACCAGTAATTACGCAAATTATAATTTTCCGGGTTTGATTTTTATTACACGATGTTATTTCTTCACCGTGGAAGTCAATCGTGAACAATTGTTAAGTACGTATTTCATTAGAAAAATTGGTTCCCGCCTGCGGGATCCGAACATCGGTGCATCGTCGGACGTCTTATCCTTTAGGCCACGACGACTTCATTAACGACTTAATTATTTGTATTAAAGAAAAAAGTAAACACGAGATCGAATCGTAAAAGGAGGTTATAGTGAGTGTTGACCGCGCACCGGAAAGCATGGGTAGGCCTCCCACGTGGTGGTAAGGCTTGCAAAACTCCGTTGGATTCGCAAGATCGGTTATTGTGGCGAACTTTGGGAGAGGCCTAAGTTCAGCAGCGGACGTTTGTAGCCTGATGATGATGATGTGCCTTTATTAAACTTTTTTTTACTGCAAATAAGCAAACTAGATCCGAACTCTGGTGCTAAGTAGTTACATGTGTATTCAACACGTATTCACAAAGACTTAGACGATGGAAAATAGCATCGTGTAATAAAAATAAAGTTCGCAAAATTTCCGAATCTGCATAATTAGTTCCAGTATTATTCTGGACGTATCGAATCCGCACTGGTTGGTATAAGTATCCAGCCTAAAAAACCCGCGAACCACATTCAACAAAAAAAATGAATCGGATGTCAAACAGGTTGCGCAAAATTGATTAACCGTAAATTAGCATTGGCCCTCGAGCTACGCTTATATTGAAATAGGTACTGAAATCCTTTTTATTGCTCATGGGTGGACGAGCCTTAACCTACTTAAGTGGTTACCATAGACACCGACAATGTAAATGCCGCCACACACCTGATAACATGAGATCCAAGTCTTTGTTTTACAGTACAACGGCTGTCCCACCCTTCAAACAGAAACGCATTAATGTTTCGCGGTAGAAATAGGCAGGTTACCAGTAAGAATTATCCACGAATAAAAATCTTTAATCAAAATTACAGAATAACTCTTAAATTATATAATATTGAAACGAAGTCCAAGGCCCAAATTACCAAGCGTAAAATTAATCATTGATCTAGTTTTAAAAACCCTGTCCCTATAATTGGATAATCGATTAAAATGTTTGGCGAAGCGTTTTTCGGATAAGATAAGATTAATTTACTAGTAGATAAACACAAACATTATGATTACATAATTTAGATTTACCTTCTTTTATTTTAAAACATAATCTATTTTGTGAGAGAAACCTAGAGTCCCTAATTTTGAACAAAAAGATAGAAGCCCCTAAAGTTTATGAAAGGGCTTCCTTTCAATCAAAAATAAGCCATAATAAATATCCCACGGGAAATCAAACCGCTCATGAAATTTCGGCGACCCTTCACTTTCCGATACAGCTTTTCCATGGTAATACAAATTTGGTTACAAATAAATGAACCTATTTTAATCGTAACTGTTGAATTTAAACTATAGACACGTCATCGACTGGCTGAGCATTGAATTTGGTAACACATAGAACGGTTAGGATTTATAATTAAGACCATTTAATTGTGATTCGTTGCCTCATTTGTGGATTCCTTGTATCGAATCAATTTTCCAACGTCGACCCAGGGTGACCCTTGTCAAGACCCCGAGCACAATCTACAACCTGCCAGAACGAGATCACTGGGATAACATTGTAAGATTAACAATATATGTAACTAAACTTTCTCTTATATAAAATAGGCAAATTACATTACATTCAGCCAACAAGAAGTTTTCGTCTTGAAATATTTTATGCACATATGTACCTAAACTTAATAAGAACAAGGAAACATATCCATAGTCTGTCATTTTTGACTATCATACAACCGTAAAATCATAATGTATAACTATACATAATGTCTAACTAGACTAAAAAAGAAAAACAGAAGGTAATTTGCATATTTCTACACAGTTTTGATAACTTCGGTCTTTCACGGAAGAAACGTGTGTGCTGAAAATGAGATAGTACATAGAGGACCCATTTTCAAGTAAAATAAAGCATACAACCTCCAACATACCTAATCCCATTTACTTTACGTTAACTCATAAAGAGTGACTACTTAAACACATTCTCAGAAGCATGAAAATATAAATTCGTAGTAGTGGCAATCTCGTTGTTAGCAGTAAACAAACTTATCATCATAGTAGGTATACAAAGAAACCTTTTTTTATTTAGTTACTTTTTATTAAATGTAAGTTAGAGCTTATTTACCTATTCATAATAAAATTAACCTAGCTATGAACAAAAATATTGTTGTTAACTTTGATCATCGTTGCAATTAGGCCCTAAGCCGTAAAACACAACCAAGAATGTTAATTTTATTGAAATTAATTAATTGGCTTTTTAATATTACAGTAAATCACAGTTAAAAAAGTCACAGTTTTTCATTTTCCCTAAATTTAAATTGCTATAAATTGTGACAACGGGAAGTCGTCCTCAAAAATATAATATTATTTAAACAAATATCGAATAACAAATATTTCTCTGTGGTATCTAGTTTTGTTAATACACACGCTGAAAACGGCGGTCGAAAGTATAGATTTAAAGGGATATATTTTACATAAAACCTTCTGAATCTTTCACTCATGTTTCATGGCATGGCTCTGTGCTATAAAAGAGCAAGTATTTCACTCTTATCCTGGCCCGCTAAGTGCTTAGAGTCCGCTGCGAATACCTTCTTGGGAACGGCCAAAGCAAATCCTACTCTATACTACAGATGTCAGAGATGACTGTACTCTTCTAACTACACTGACTCAGCGGAATATCCCGGGGACCCGAGTTGACGGTACTGTCTAGGCGAGCTCCATCTATCCTGCAGACTGAAAGGCCCAGTGATCGTAACGTCGCGAAGCAGTTGCTCTTGAGTTGTTGGGTCTCCTTTGGAGGTACTCGGGCAGCTGTTAGCAAATCCCACCCCTCCTGGTTAAGCTTTTGCTCGCCCACCTGTCCTGGTGAAACTGGAAAGGCCGCCGGACCACCAGCGGTGGTCGTAACGCTGACGTAGCGATGTTGATCGAAGCGATGAGCTCCGCGCAGAATGGGTTGCCTAACCTCCGTGTTATTTTATAAAATTGTTTCCTTCGAGGATCGGAAGAGAGTTGCTGACCAACCGGGGTTCAGTTGGCTCAACGAGCCAATCAACTATCCCCAACGGAGGATCAATGGTTTCATTATGACCAAAATAGTAATAGATATGTAGTTGGTTTCAATAGTTGGTTTGAATTCAGCTCAAAGGTATGTTATTAGTCTTGCAAAATAAATACATACAATTGTATTGTGCAAATTATTAAAACTTTTCTCATCACATAACATTTTAAAAAGCGCCCGACTACAACCCAGTTGTTATATACTGCCTTAAATTCGGATTTATGGAATAGGATTTTTCTACTGGTATCTAATAAAACCGTTTAAAAATACAAGGTCAAGTAACTTTAATTCTATTCCTTTTTTTTGAGGCCGTTTATTATGTGTACAAGTGCAATGTATGAAACCAGGGATGTATTGTCATTGGAAATACCACCGGTAACCACACCCTAATTCTCACGTGCAATGTGGTGTAGTGTAGCCCTATCTGGGCATAATAAGTCACTAGCAGAGAAGATGTGAGCGGCGACTGCGCAGTTCCGTCTTTGTTATCGATTTTGTTACCTACTCTCGTAATGTGTATTATCTGTGGCTGTCCACAATTTTACTATATTTTCCCAAGCCAGTTAAAAATTATTAAAAAATAATAAAAAAATACTGTGTTTTCATTGTGTTAGTAAATTTGTATTATGAAGATTAAAAATAACGGATGACCAACTTATTTAAGTATCAAACCGAAAATATTAATATACTTTCTAAAATAGGTACTTAAATGGCACTAAATAGTCTCATTAGGATTTGGTGTAAGCATGGTAGTTCTAGTGAGTAGTAGAGTAGTGAGTTAGTATGCTGAGAAAATTTGCTATTAATTATAGAGACTAATCTAGTTGATGAATTGATCATTTTCCATTGAATAAAGCTTACTAATAACAAAAATACTAGATGTAAAAATGGACGTTAACTTTAAAATTTAAACTTTTGTGTATACTAGTGCTCTTCAAACTATCATTCTTAGTCTCGTTTTTAAACTATATTTTCAAAAGATCTATGGAATTGTGGTGGTTAAAACTGAAAATCATGGCTTATCCGCTTATGAACAATGAAACAAAGTTATTGGACGTGGCTTCCTGGGTTCTTATTATAAAATCCACTGAAATTTTATTCAATTCCAGCCATTTTACTGAAAGATCTGATTTAAATTTAATTGAATATCATTTCAGATAACTCTTCTTCATTTTTAATGTAAATGGAAATTAAATATACTTGACGCTGGCAACAATTGCAAAGCAAAAAGCCAATCGGTTCATAAAGACTCGCATCCAGGGCTGTAAAACATTCTCAAAAAGAAAATGAAATTCGATTGCCATGCAGAAAAAAACTAAAAGAAGAAAAGATCGCGCAAAAACTGCACTTCAATTGAAAATTAGTTTGTGACCGCAACGCGACAATTCACGTTGTCTCGATTAAGTGTCTAAAATTTGGTGATTTTGGCAGACCTAAAAAAATTTGGCTGTTACATTAATTATAAAAGTAAGTTTATTAACTACAACCTTTTTTAAATTTATTTTTCGTGTAATCTGTATATTCCAAAAAATATCTCGTTATGAATCATTTATAGGGGATATACTTAACCTTAATTCTGGAGTGTAATTTTGAACTTATCGACACAAAGATCGTATTTTAGTTATTTTAACAGTAATTCGTAGCCAAATGAATTCTTCCAGAAGATTTTTGCACTTTCAACCACTTTTTGCCACTTACGTAATGATGTCATATAACGAAACCTTGTGCCATCGTACCTTGGAACTTCTGACATTGATCCTGACCCACATGCGTGATTAAAATTAAACCAACTAAACAAATAGTGCCAATTGCCCTAATATTATTAATCAAAAAACGTAAGCACTATGAGCATAAATAAATTAGTTGTTGGAGTTTAAAATCAGATTAATATTATGTAATAAGATAAAGCGCTCAGATATGTGCCTTATTACATATAAATGAAGCTCTATCTCATGATTGAAATATACGTACTTACAATACAAATAAAAAACTTAATGTAAATGATCAAAATCACCAGATTGTTGATGATTAAAATATTAAACTTCTGATTTTTTTTCTGCAGATTTAAAATGGGTGTACCTGCAGGAAACGCTGAAAATGGAAAGAAAATTTTTGTACAACGATGTGCCCAGTGCCACACTGTAAGTCAAAAATGTTTAGTGGAATTTTGTATTTAAACTATCTGAAAATGATAGGGTTTTTAAAATGGTGTTAAACGTCTGTTTGGATTCTGAATATAAATTTCAATATACTAAAATAAAGAGAAAACCATACATAAAATAAATCTAAACCTGAGTCATTATTGTTAGAAGTATGACCACGTGTTAATTTTAACAGCTATGAGAGTTGTCTATATCATAAACCATACTAAGACACAACTATAAGGGATACACATGGGCTTATCACCAATTCAAGTTTTTTCAGTGTGAAACAATTAATGTTAAATTAATGTTTCAAAGAATTATTATTAAAAAAATTGGGAGATCTAAAATATAGAAAAAAAACTTTTGTATAACCTTAATATTACAGGTTGAAGCTGGTGGCAAACACAAAGTAGGACCGAATCTACATGGATTCTTTGGCCGAAAAACTGGCCAGGCTGCAGGATTCTCATACTCCGATGCCAATAAAGCTAAGGGTAAATAAATTCACAGCTAAAAATCTTATTGTTAGTTATTAGCTTAAAAAAATTCACAACTTATTTTTGATAGCATTGCATAGCAGTGTGGTGATAGCATTCTGTCAATGTATTCCGGTATCAATGTTGAATGTACCGGAAGACGTAGCGTGGGTAGGCCTCCCACAAGATGGACCTACGATCTATTGAGGTTCGCAAGGATCCGCTGGATGCAGGCAGCGCAGGACCGCTCTTTGTGGGGAGGCCTATGTCCAGCAGTGGACGTCTGTTGGCCGATAAGTAATTCCAGTATCCCCATAACACCAATCAAACTATGAGCTCATGCCCATGTTGAAATAAATAAATAAATATAGTAGCTTGAACTTTCTGATTATTGTCTGTACATATATTCTGGCCAAATATATGCATTCACATTATAGATATTTTTTAATACAAAAGAGCTAGCTCATTAGGATAAGTGGTAGATTGATATTACATTTGGATGATTTGGATTGATTAAGACATTAATGAACATAACATGTTCTGATTAGCAGATTAACACGGAAATACCATTAGAAGCATCAAATTGAAGCTTTCAAAAATGTTTAGAATTCATTTATTTATTTTTATTTCAGGCATTACATGGAATGACGACACTCTCTTTGAATATCTTGAGAATCCCAAGAAATACATCCCTGGAACCAAGATGGTGTTTGCTGGACTCAAGAAGGCAAATGAGCGTGCTGACCTTATTGCCTATCTCAAATCTGCTACCAAGTAATTTTAAAGTAATAGAAAATTCCATAAGAAGCATTTTCCATAACATTTCTGGGATTTACTTCTTATTTAGCCCAATCAGTATGATCAGTTATGTATTCAGCAATGTTACAATTGCACTATAATATTAAAGTATTTGTTAGTTCCAAATCACAACACAATCATTTGCAGTTGTTGTTTGTGAATACATATGTACCTGGTACATAATGTATTGTGTGATGTAATTTATACTCTCTTGACAATGCTGTGAGTGATTAAATGTTAAATTATTAATAGATCTTGTAAGTTTTGTGATAGTCTTTTCACAAAAAAATTGTCATTAGCAATAAATTTCATTAATTTATTCTAGGTCCTACAATGTTACCAACTTTAAATTATTAAATTGTAAAATAACACTAATAAAGACAAGTTCTTTAGAACAAATAAAAGTATTTTTCTTTAACTTAGAATTCACACAGATTTGAAATCTTATTAATTTAATAAATGTATTTGCTACTCTTAAAAAAATCTGAGTACATAGTATTATAATTTAAAATGATATCCATATTGTCTTTGTCTAAAAATGTTTTAATTTTATGTCTAGGCATAGAGGCTTCAAAGAAATGAATTAGAATATTGGACTACTGAAGGAAGAAGGCAATACTTGTCTTAACACTGAAGAAATTGACGATTTTCGTATTCTGTTTCAAGCTTTTCTAAAACTTTTTTGAGGCGTAACATATCTGAGTTGAACTTCCGAGCGTGCGATGTCATGACTTAGTTTTGAATTCGTCGTGGCCTAAAGGATAAGACGTCCGGTGCATTCGTATCTAGCGTTCACCGGTGTTCGAATCCCGCCGGCAGATACTAATTTTTCTAATGAAATACGTAATTAACAAATGTCCACGATTGACTTCCACGGTGAAGGAATAACATCGTGCAATAAAAACCTAACCCGCAAAATTATTGGTGGTAGGACCAGGACCGCACGAGTAGGTACCACCACCACCCTGCCTATTTCTACCCTGAAGCAGTAATGACTTTCGGTTTAAAGGGTGGGGCAGCTGTTGTAACTATACTGAGACCTTAGAACTCGTATCTGTGTCGAGTGGCGGTGGCGGTCTGTACGTTCTAGGTGTCTATTGGGCTCCGGTAACCACTTAATACCAGGTGGGCCGTGAGCTCGTCCATCTAAGCAATAAAAAAAACTAGTATACAAGATTCATTCGAGAAGCTCTTTCGAGAGGTTTCCTTCAGAGGTGCTCAGGCAGCTGTTGTCAAATCCCATCCCTCCTGACTGAGCTCGTGCTCGCCCACCTGTCCTAGTGGAAATGGAAAGGCCTCCGGGCCACCAGTAATCCTTCACAAAAAAAAACCAACGAGATCCCTTCAACAACCTTCCGTTGGACGGCGATCGGTTCGCGTTTAGAGAGGTGCATTTTCTCATACCTTGCTTCTGAGCTGGGGGCAGCCATGCGAGGCGAATCGCGACTATGTATTCCGTCGTGTGCAACTTGTATCCTCAGTGATGGAATTTTGATCGAAGAGTCCAATACTGGATACTCGAGGGTCATTATCCAGGGTGGAAACGGCGAAATTCTCATAGATGGAAAATATGTAAACCGGCATAAAAATCAAGGGAAAAATTGCATTTAAAATTATATATTTTGTATATTACGAGTTATTTGTTTGTCTAGGTGGTCAAGTTGAAATATAAGCCATGATTTGTTTAACTATGCAAGGTATAGTACAAGAATAAGTATAATGGCTGGTATTTGCTAACGGCTGCCCGAGCGCCTCTTGTGGGAGACCTAACAGCTTAAGGCTAGCTGCTTCTTTCCACATCGCGAGAAAGATGCCAGATGGACAGATGCCAACATCACGATGAGTTGGGTGGGTAAAAGTTTGATAGCGCGGTTAGATATATTGTCGGAACCGGGAGTTTTGCGAGGACTTAGGCCTTTAATCAGGTCTTTAACTTCCATCGGAGTAACGGGTTGTAACACCCGAGGGTGGCAAGGAGGCTCTGTGTGCGATCTCACTGTCTACTAATTCTGTATGTACGAGGTCCGCCGATCGAGTGCTGTGGGTGCACTGAATTTGCAGAGTAAGGCTAGCAGTCTTGCCTTTTGGTCGTCATCGTACGCCGCGAGTCGGCTTGAGGGGTTTACGAGGGGGCATAGTTTCTACTTTATCCGATTTGAGAGTCCGAGCTAAACGATAATAAGATCGTTGGAAGGGAGAAGAATAAGTCTCCTAAAGTACTTGAGTTATAAGTCTCCACTAAAAAATAAGGCCTTAAAAAATAAACTCGAAAATGATAAAATGATAAAATGAAAAAAAAGGTAAATTTACCTCCGAATCTTAGAAAAAAAAATTAAGCATTCAGAAGGCAGTGTTTCAAATATTAATTCCTTATAAATTCAGGAAATATGCTACAATAACGCCATCTTGATGTGAACAGATATTCGGAAACATTATACATATTATTATATAGAAAGCATGTGGTTCTGCTCGGTGCTTGCTCGAAATCATAAACAAAAAACTTTTTTGCTTGAACGTGATGAGTCACGTCGCTTAAATTTCATTTTACTACTCCAAAACCTCATTCATCATCATTCTCCTTCCTTTCTCCCAGTAACCTGGGGTTGGCGCAATATGTTTTCTCCTCCATACTCCTCTATCATATACCATTTCTTCGCGCACTCCCTTCTTACACATATCGTCTTTCACGCAATCCATCCATTTCTTCTTAGGTCTACTTCTTCCTCTATATCCAGCCACATTCATAGTAAACAACCTCATTTTCATTTCGTCTCATCACATGTCCATACCATCCCATCTATGGGTCTAAATCCATCCCATACCACTCCCAAATCTATAGGTCCAAAAAAATATTTATATAATTTCACATGCTTATTTGGTTATTCGATAAGCTAAGCTTAAATGCCAATGGCCTTAATCAAAATTGAAGAAAAAACAAACTGACACACAATGACTTGACTTGGCCATATAGTAATTTAAATAAAATACTAGGCTATATGGTATGATAACTTTGCTTTTCCAGTTGGAAAAATGGAACTACTTAGTAGGTACCATTTTGGCGGGAGCGCGAGGAGTGAAGCTGTATGAATCGTTTTATTTTGTCTATTTAGTTTTTCTTTAGAATTAAATGTGCAATGACGATGGTTTGTTAACTGTTTAATATCTGTGAAAGTGCACAAATGTAGGAAAATGTAAGAAAGCCGCTGCACGTAGCTTTTCGAGATCTTCCAAAAAGTCCATTGAAATAGTCTTAGTAAATAACCACCATTTTACTGAGATTTTCAGTAAAACCGCCCCGCCTATTTCTGCCGTGAAGCAGTAATGCGTTTCAGTTTGAAGGGTGGGGCAGAACGGGGGCTTAGAACGTACCTATATCTCAAGGTGGGTGGCGCATTTACGTTGTAGATGTCTATGGGCTCCAGTAACCACTTAACACCAGGTGGGCTGTGAGCTCGTCCACACATCTAAGCAATAAAAAAAATAATTGCATCCAATATCATCTCATCTCATTTCGAGCTAGTTGATTAATATTCCAAATGCATCAATTCATTTCATTTCACTTTATATTATCATTTTTCGTAAAAAAAACATATTAAAGATTAGGCTCTATGGTACGATACTTTGGTCTTTCCATTTGGAAAAGTAGAACTTACTGACTTCTGACATTGACAGGCAAAAGTTTAGAAACATATGTAGGTAGGTAGGTAGGTAGGAATCTACCTACTTTTGGATTTAAAATAAAATTTAGGTTTATGCTGGTATATTGCAATTGAAATTGCTAGGACATACCTAAATAGTCCCTAGGCGCATTGACTTGTAGATGTCGAAATAATTGATAAACATTCACTTAAAGTCATTGTAATGGGCTTACACATTTTTTAAGTAGTGTGGTGTGAAAATAGTTACTGAACAGTTTAAAAAAATATAACTACCCAATGCCTGCTTCCGCAAATAAAATCGGTGAGTTGTATTCTTATATTTTAATGATAAATTTGAGAAAATGTAATTTATATAAATTGAGTATAATTTTATGTACAACCTTTGTTAGATTTTATTTTTTCATATTTTCGTTTCTTTTCCTACCAGACTAAAACCAAGATCAAGTAAAAGAAGTTGGGTGAAAATAATTAAAGCGAAATTATTTCTAAATTATACAAAAATGGCAAAAGCATCTGTTGTGTTAAGTTTTCATGATATATTGCTTCATCGGTCTGATATAGAATTACTGGAAGGTCCGCATTGGTTGAATGATACGATAATATCATTTTACTTTGAATATCTCGAAAAAGTTGTGTTCAGTAAAGAGAGTGATCTATTATTTGTGTCTCCAGAGGTAACACAATGTATAAAAATGGTTCAAACAGAAGAAATAAAGACTTTTCTAGAACCGCTTCATGTGAACTTGAAGAAGTTTGTGTTCTTTGCCTTGAATGACAATAATACTCCAGATATGGCAGGTGGCTCCCATTGGAGCCTACTTGTTTATTCAAGGCCAGAGAACTGCTTCTTCCATTTAGATTCTTCACAAGCAACAAATCATGATGTTGCTTGGGAATTTGCAAGCCATATAATGTCATATCTTGCCAAAGGGGGTGAGTTTTTCTGTTGTGAATGTAGTTTTATTATATGACTGTCGCTATTTTGTACAAAAATTCTAAGTAAAAAAAAATTTAAATCAAACTATTAAATTATATTGAACTTATGTTTAATTATATATCACATATAACAATAACTTTTAGAGGGTATAGAAATAATTATACATCATAATGATTGAAAGGCACCATAATTTTTAAATGTGAACATATACCAAAGTTGTGTCATTGTATGCAAAACGGACACTGTAATTTCAAAAAATTTAAAAGAAATAAATTATTTGGTTCTGTATGTGAAATGTTTCAAAAACGAATAATGTTTTGCAGGTTCCATTAACTTTGTCGACAAGGAATGCATTCAGCAAAGTAACGGCTATGACTGTGGAATTCATGTAATAATCAATGCAGAGAGGCTTGCTGAATACTCTTGTATCCATAGAAATATGGGTAGTTGCAATATGTTAACCAAAATTAATCCTAATGCTAAAAGGAAAGAAATCAAAAAAATAATACAAAACCTATCTCACTAATTTATTATTTCTTGTTGTTGTTGTTTACATTTAACCTATTTTAATTTTATTTAAAGTTCTTTTTAATTTTTTGATGTTGTAAGTTTTGATTATGCTAACGTAATCAAAACTAGAAGCACAAATGCTTCCTATTTAAAAATCTAAATATTCTAAATCTAAATTCTTATTTAAATAAAGAAATTATTTTGTGAATAAATTTGAAAAGCGCTTCCAATTTGCCTAAAAATAATTTTGGCTTATTACTGAATCTATAACAACACTTTGGAAAACATCCATCTACACATGAGCAAACCAAATGGTATTGCACTTAATATAAAGGTGCAAAATATTAAATTACACAGCATAGTCTCTGAAAGGGTTTTAGAGTAAATGACATCTTGCATAGAGCTGGTGAAATTGCTCAGTAAACTGACAGTCAAGAATTTTTGTAACTAGTACAAATATATGCAAACTTATCTTGAACATATAGTTAGTGAAATTCAGGTATCTGTCAAATATCTTGTGTTTTATGATAGCTACCGATACAAAAGGGTAACCCCATTAACCAGGTTTTTTGAACTGAAAACACTTAAAAGAGATCACTAGAATAAAACACTTTTAAATTACTTGTATATTGTGATATTGCTTATAATTAAAATATAAAATAAATATGAAAAAAATTCTAGAAAACCTCCATAAAAACACTTCAACATTTAATCGAAATTGTCTCTTGTTAGAGGATGATGTCTTGAGTTTAAACATATTAAATCAGGTGATGTTACCATGTGTTAAAAAAATGAAATAATTCGTCTAGAAAATCAAATCCCTAAATTTTCTATTTATACCAAAGTTAAATCTACATAGACATGTTAGTCTGGGAATGAATCTGGACAAAATTAAGGTTATGTTCAAAAACCATATCATTCTTGGTCCGATACTAGGCGAATCCACGGCACTCGAAGCTATGTCTGAATACAGCTATCTAGACAAATTGTTCTGCTAGGCAAGGGTCAACTTCGAGAAGCTGATAGGCACATACAGTTGGATTGGGCTGTATATGGGATACTCCGTCATATCTTCATCTCAGCAATCCCGCAATGTTTAAAGACAAAAGTCTTCAAAGCTTGCGTGCTACCAATAATGATAAATAGCCCTGAAACGTGACAATGGGCCGGACATACATGTCACAGCGTTGGGCGTCCCCCTGCCCATGCCCCCCTGCGATGGGCCGATGACTTACAGCGATATGCTGCAAGAGATTGGATTCGAAAAGCGGACGACCGTTCGTTGAAGCGGACTATGGGAGAGGCCTACATCCAGTAGTACAGAGATACAGGCTGATGATAATTTCGAGACCACAAGCATCGATACTCCTACCATTATGTCCGTCTCATGCAATCGTGGGTGTATTGCTCGAAGTGTACCATCAGGTAATCCTGTCCTCGTTTACGATCGCAGAACTCGTCATGAGCAAAGTTTATCCCTATTACCGGGAACTACTGCGTTTATCACAATGCGTATTCTTATTTCCACAGGCTCTTGATTGAACTCTTCTTAGTGCTGCTCGATCGCTATAATGTGTCCATCTTCAAACAAGGTGTAACAGTAGTGACCCCCTGATATTGCTAGTATGCCAAAGTGATGATAACCATTTACAATCAGTTAGGTGATAGGTTCATTCGTCGTCATCCTATAGCAATAAAAAAAATTCCCTACCTATTTATTAATTTCCAGAAACATAACACTAACTTAAAACTTAAGATCTTTGTGGCTCTATCCAACCGCCGAAAGCTCTATCTAATTCTTCGGCAACTGCGAAACATAATCTGTCATTGTTATGATTTGCAATTACTTGCATACCAATAGGTAGTCCATCTCTGCCTAAACCTAAAGGTATTGTTGTCGCTGGCAACCCTAAGCTATTAATTATTGCAGTGTATGAAAAGTTGAAGGCCTTTACTAATGGTTCGTTGTGGTACGGTGCTGTCGTTGGATGTGACGGATACAAGAAAACTCCATCGTCACCAAGGATATTCTTAAATACATTTTCTAGATCTTCACGGTGTTTTAAATATTGTTGGTATTTTTCGTCTCCAAATTTAACACCAGTGTAATCGAATAGAGCAGTAACTAGGCCGATGAATGTGTTACCAGAGAGTCCAACGATATTTTTAAGCATTTCTAGCAAAATAAGACCTACGCTCTCTTTTTTCATGATTAATTCGCCAAATTTTCTCTGTGTTTTCATTGTAGTTAACCATATTGCTATGGATTTTCGTAACTTATCTATTTTCTTTTCTTCCGCTTTTATATTATGCTGCTTTTCGAAATATTCTACTACTTTATGCATAACTGAAACTATGTCTTTATCGACAGGATCTGTCAAAGGAGATTCGCTGTCAATTTGATAGAAAATTTTTAACTTCTTTATGTCGACGTGTTCATCTAGTTTTAATTTGCTTGCATTTTCTCCAGATATTATTTGAAGTAGAGGCTTCAGGTCTTTGGCATGTCTAGTCATAGGCCCAATACCTAAAACAGTAAAAGACGTATGTTATATAGATGATAATAACTGTTCGGCTCATATTAAGAAATGATAAAACATTAAAAAAAAATCTATGACCTACGAAGCCGCTTACTCGCTTACTTTATCGTGATTCAAAACCTGTTTACGTTAAAATTTCCACGATGATTGAACAACAAACGTGTAGGTTATAATTGAAATGTTCAATTTAATTTCCTAATTAGTACGTAGTGAATCCCGCACTACTGAGTATCACATCTCGCCTCGAAAACGAAAATGTGACGGTTTTTACTCATTATTGGGTGGATCGGAGCTTATCTGAAAGACCTGTCAGGCAAACAGTTTTATTATTATTATTATGGGAATATCTTGCCTAGAAACGAATGCAGTAGATCTGTTTCAGGTATGGGATATTGTCCGGAATTTGAGACTATATTTCGAGAAGGCTTGTGACCGAAGATTCCATTAAAAAACGCAGGCATCCGAATAGATCCTCCTATGTCAGAACCTGAAACAAATAACCCCATTTTAGAAATTACACACATTACATTACCCGCACACACATACGCATAGATAATAAAATAAACGCTTGGTTTATTTGAGGCGAAATTACCTAATGCAAATTACTTTATTTTAAACAGTTAATGTGTTTTACGAACAAAAGTGATTACTTTAATCTTCAATAGTGAAGTTGATATAAACTTATAATCCTATTAAGACGCGCTATGACTATATTTCTATTTAAGAAATTTTAAAGAATATAGATTGAAAATAATACCAATTCCAAATATACTTCCAGCAGCACCCTGTAGGCTTCCCTCTCCACCTGAAGAGCCTCCCACAATCCTTGTCGTATTGTAGGGATTATTTGTTCTTCCGTAGATGTGATTATGTGTCTCCCACCTTGCACAAAAAGGACACGGTAGTCATAACGTTCTTATCGCGAATTATAAACATAAATTGTTGGCCTATAACATTTTTTTGGAATATTTTTAATGTGAGAAAAAAGACTATTTCCTTACAACTCTTTAAACTTTTATTTATATCAAAAGAAACAAACCACATGCAAATTTCAGGTACATTCGTGAGGCCAATTATAATGGCTCCCTTATCACGAAGAAGTTTAATGACGTCAGCATCATCTTCTGCTACAATATCTTTGCGTAAAACAACACCAGAAGTATGATGTAGACCTGCAAGCGCAAAATTATAATTATTACGTGCATTTTAACACTTGTATCAATATTTCTTTATCTACTCCTTGAAATGGTTATTTTCATTCTATGACGTCTACAAGGTAACCCACTAATGACCAAGGGCGGATCCAGCTTTGGCGCCAGGAGGGGGTCACATAGTCAAATTTAGATGCGTTCGTTCCCAAACATTTGCCATTATACAAAGTTATTATATTAAATGAATTAAATATTGAAGGTATGTAGTTACATAACATCTGTATGGCGACAAAATATATAAATAAAATCATTATATTCAATTAGTGGTCCACCTAAGTCCTGGAACCAGCTCAGGGGGTGGTCATGACCCCCATGACCCCCCCTCCCCCCTGGATCCGCCATTGCTAATGACCACGATACCGTTATATATTACAATTCAGTGAAAAGCATAATAGGTATAATTTTTGTTCATGTTTAATCTAATAACACAAGTTAACTTCACCACAAGTTAATCATGGAACTAATTAGGCTAATAAAAAAAATACCATTCACCTTTAACAGCTATACAGTCTTTAGTCGTGAAAGGTACCCCAAGGAATGGTTTTTCCTTCTCTAATTGTTCAACAGTTTTGGTACCACTCAGTATAAGAGCATCTGCATCTTTGGCTTCTTTGAATGCCAACTCAAAGCGATCCTCAACAAAGCAATTGAGTGCTGAATTAACGTCCTTGATTCTCCTTATACATGCTTCCAATACTTCAACACTTGAAATCTGGAAAAAACATAAATGTATTCAATCTCTAAATAGTACGAAATAAAGTCGCTGTCTCTTTCAATCTATTACTTATTCTAAGCCACTCAGCCGATTTTGATAATTAAGAATGGTTTGTGTAAAATTTGTGAATATTTTGACAGAACTATGACGGTGTTATGACAAAAAAATTGTTTTCGTACCTATTCTAAGTGTAGTCAACGCGGGGGGTGCTACTAGCGGAAAACTAGTAAATTATAAATAATACGAGGCGAGTCGAGTCAGCTTAAATAGGGGTTTGTTTTGTCGATACTATATGAATCACAGTTCATAGGAGATTTATCAAAATTATTATTATTTTAATTTAAAAGTATCAGTATAAGACTAGAACTCCTTAGAAGAATGCTATTTTGTCTGTATTTTTTTTATTGCTTAGATGGATGGACGAGTTCACAGCCCACCTGGTGTTAAGTGGTTTTACTGGAGCCCATAGACATCTACAACGTAAATGCGCCACCCATCTTGAGATATAAGTTCTAAGATCTCAGTATAGTTACAACGGCTGCCCTACCCTTCAGACCGAAACGCATTACTACTTCACGGCAGAAATAGGCACGGCGGTGGTACCTACCCGCGCGGACTCAAAAGAGGTCCTACCACCAGTAACTGTATAATTTAAAGTAGATTTTCCGTTTCGTGTTAAATGGATACCAAGTCTTCGGTCAGCTCAATATGCTTGCTTTCCCTCTCCTCAACTTAATACGTGAGTACGAAGTCTGAATTACATTAGAATGAACTAAAGGATAGATAGACTGTGCGTGGGACGACTTTAGCGTTGCTATCGTTTCATTCAATTGGCATTGTATATCCATTTAGTCTCTGTAATTGGCCGGTCAATTTGAGTCAATATTAAGTTTGTCGTACCCACCGAGATACTTTAAAACTTCAGTTCACTTAATAACTTAATTCTCGCTTAATACGGCACAGCGTACGAGTACCTACTTATAAAGATATTCCGTTTTTAGCATGCTTTTATTAGCTTGACCCATGTAACGGAATCTTTTAACGTAGTTTTCAGAAACTCCAAATGCAAAAGTATCGAGGACCGATGACATTAGAATAATCGTATTATTGTATTTTGCTTTAACGTCCTGCCCAACTTTTTTATTAAACTATTGTTTTATAGTATGTTCTTGAATCATGGGAGTCCGAATGAATCCCGAACATGTTTTAATTTTATTTTAAATACCCCCAGGTTTAATTAATACGCTTTTATTCGCTTCAAACGTATGTTAGTATCTATGTTAGTTTTTTTTATTGCTTAAATGGGTGAACGAGTTCACAGTCCACCTAGTGTCAAGTGGTCACCGCAGCCCATAGACATCTACAACGTAAATGCGCCATTCTAAGGTCTCAGTATAGTTACAACGGCTGCCCCACCCTTCAAACCGAAACGCATCGCTGCTTCACGGCAGAAATAGGCGGGGTGGTGGTACCTACCCGTGCGGACTCACATGAAGTCCTACCATCAGTAATGACGCTAATTATAATTTTACGGGTTTGATTTTAATTACACGACTAGCCGTACTCGCCCGCTTCGCTGGGCATTTAAAATTAACATTATTATTTATTGTCATTATTATTAGGGAGTCCAACACTCATATAAATATTAGCCTATCCATTAAGTAGATATATTTTCTACATGGATACCAAGTTTCAAGTCAATCGGATGCATGGTTCAGTAGTTATAACGGAACATCCGTAAAAACCACTGTAGATTTATATATTACTATAGATATTATTCCTTCACCGTGGAAGTCAATCGTGAACATTTGTTAAGTACGTATTTCATTAGAAAAATTGGTACCCGCTTGCGGGATTTCAACACCGTTGCATCGCTAGATACGAGTGCACCGGACGTCTTATCCTTTAGGCCACGACGACTTCAGTATGTAAAGAAGTATTTGAAAATGATTTTGAACCCCTTCAAAACGTCGGATTAACTCGAAATTTGCCATACTTGTCAAGGACAGACTACAGTTCAATATTTTAAACATTTAGACTCTTTATTTACTTTCGGCAGACAAAACAACAAATTCATTTGAGCGCCATCTTTTTTTCACTTCGCAAATTAGAAACTATTGTAATTGTCTGAATGTACATTAATGAATAATTTATGATACATAATGCTACTTAAACTAAAAAATGAAAAACAATATAAAAAAAAAGATAAAAAAACACGATTTTATAGAAAATCCAACTAAGTAAAGAATAGAAAATAAATTTATTTGTAAAAAAGCGAGAGATGCTTTTTAAGATATTATCAAAATGATAAGACTTCTACTTATAACTTTCAATAAAATATTTAAACTAATGACACCGCGCACCTCACTCTTTTTTAGTAAATGAATAATAAATGAAAATACAAATGAATTCTCTACATATTACACACTCTAAACTTCATCGTAGTATAGGAAGTCGCAGTGGCTCAAAGGATGAGACATCCAGTGTACTAGTATCAAACGATGAGATTAAGCCGGTGTTCAGGTTCCGCAGACAGTTACAAATTTTTCTAATAAAACACGTAGGTATCTACAACTCATGTTTACGATTGACTTCCACGATGAAGAAATAACATCGTGTAATACAAATCAAGCCCGCAAAAATTTTAATTTACATACGCAAACTTTAAGATTTAAGGTGGGGGGCGACATTCACGTTGTGATATCTATGAGTTTCGGTGACTACTCAACACCAGTTGGGACTCGCCTACGCAATGAAATAAGTCGCTTTATTAAAAAAATTGATCTGATAACAAATATTTGTCCAGTGCCGGCTTATGATAAGGGATGGCTATCCACAATACTCAATCAAATTAGTTTACATTTAGCTGATACAACTTACCTCTATAAATAACATATTATTCATTTTTTATGTACCTACACATTTTACGAAGTCGTCGTGGCCTAAAGGATAAGTTGTCCGGTGCATTCGTACTTAGCGATGCACCGGTGTTCGAATCCCGCAGGCGTGTACCAATTTTTGTAATGAAATACGTACTCAACAAATGTTCACGATTGACTGCCACGGTGAAGGAATAACGTCGTGTAATAAAAATCAAAACCGCAAAATTATAATTTGCGTAATTACTGGTGGTAGGACCTCTTGTGAGTCCGCACGGGTAGGTACCACCACCCTGCCTATTTCTGCCGTGAAGCATTAATGCGTTTCGGTTTGAAGGGTGGGGTAGCCGTCGTAACTATACTGAGACCTTAGAACTTATATCTCAAGGTGGATGGCGCATTTACGTCGTAGATGAGCTCGTCCACCCATCTAAGCAATAAAAAAAAACCTTGTTCATATTATACGCGCGATGTAAACTATTGGCAGCTTACGAGTATACGGCGTACATTCGTCATTGCGGTAGCAGTATTCAGTCTATTCTAATTGTGATACGTTCTTAATTTTTCGGGTATAAGAGCGTTTTGTGAGTCCATACGGATACCACCACCACTATTCCAACTATTTCTGCCGCGAAGCAGTAATGCGTTCCGGTTTGAAGGGTGGCGCAGACGTAGGACTGAGACTTAGGAATTTGTCGCAAGGCGGGTGGCAGCATTAATTTTTTCTACGGGCTTCGGTAACTTAACACCTGGGGGTGGGCCATGAATTCGTTCACCCTTCTAAAGAAAAAGAATGCAATGCAGGCGTGACAGGATTCTTTAAATGTGCTGTGCTCTCAGAAACGGTTACAATACATTCTGTACAACATTTATTTTTAACTTATGCGCTACCTTTGCTGTCTTGATGGTCTAACAATGGACATGTCATTAACGATTACTAAAGTGCCAAAATCACTTTTATAATGTTTGAACTGAATTGGAACAACGATAAGCAAACGCCATTAACGACAGGTTAATATTAATAATTAATTATAAATGTGTGTAGGTACATACGATCATAATGCAATATTAAAATAACAACCAATTAATTACATCATTAGCGATTTTGCCTACAAAAACAGATGTTGGTTATTTATTATTCGTTCATACAACGAGTATTCGCTACTGTGAACTAACTACCCGCGGGCCCTTTTCTTGAATTATCTTATAAATTTATGTTCATACCTACTAGATTGAATAGATGTATTTTAAAAACTTCAAAACGCGCTTAACTAGCAAACCGAACTAACATATTATAATTTCATCTTTTTTTACCCTGTTGATACTGGTCAAGTTAACAGAGTGCTGTTATAAATTTATTGTTCTCTTATCGTATTATCCTTGATGCGTGTGCACATTTTCAAGTTAATCGGACATCTTGAAGCCGATGAATGTGACGTGCAAAGATTCCGTTCCATACAAACAAACATACCGCTATTGATAGTGCGTTATAAATGCACACTGCACCCCATCTGGTGCAAAAAAAATTATGTTTATGATTTAGAATTCTAATGTGGTTTTTAACATGTTTTATTAAATTAGAGCAATTGCGTTAAGTACTCAACTGACCCCATACTTCTAACCCCCCATAAACTTCATAATATGCCTGTCGTCAACCATCTTGAAATGTGAGGTCGAGGTATTAGATACATTTTTACATAAGTATCTTCATACATATAGCTGAATCACCCTCCGAACCGTAACCTATGTTTGCATCGCAACAAACATAGGTAGGATATACGGTTTACTATAATAATTATTATCAACATTCTGCGCTTTAGCCTCTCTATGTAATCAATATTTTCACAGATTACATTATTTTGCGAAAATGCTTTATGGTAATAATCAAGTTTAAATTTAATTTTACTTTGGTAACTAACATGGAGTCTCTAAGTCAGCTAATTCATGATTTCATTGTTATAATAAATTTAGTGTAACTTTATTACTGTTACAACTGAATGGCTTCTCCGCGGCAGTAATAGTAGCGCGAGATGGTGAAACTTACTCGTGTATATTTCTGCCGCTAAGAAGTGTAACAGCTGCAGTTGTATGGTTTGTATGGGCTCCGATAGCCACTTAACACCCAGCGAGACATAAGCTCGTTCACCCGTCAAGGCAATAAGTTTAATAAAAACACAAGTTGGCGTGAGTCATTTCAATCCGTTTTATGTCACTGAGTAAATGAGCTATTCTTATCACATGTAATTTCCATTTCGCTTCCTCAGACTCTGAAGAGAAGACCTAAAGGTTGTGAATCTATTAAAACTAGTTTCATTATCCATCTGTATGGTTTGAGAATTAACGTAACAAGTCATAAGTGTTTTTTGTGTAGCGCATCACCACAATTTTATCAACGTAAGTATCGACGTGTGTAATTATGACGTCTATGTAAAAATTAAATTTTCGAGATTTGTCATTTTATTATTTGTTCTAAACTTAAATGATCTATTCTACTAACCTCTTTATTCCTTATTTTTTTCGCAACCTCCACCGCAGGCTCCTTCAGGATATGATCAGTTATCGGTGGAATCTTCTCTCCTTCGTTTCCATAATATAAATTAAAGAAGAATCTAACGATGACGGCGATAGCTAATCTTACTCTGTGCAACACTCTGAGTTTTAGCGGCAATTGTTTATTTGTTATCTCTGTAGTACTCATGTTTAAACTTAGATCAAGATCTTCCGAGAGAAATTTCGCGTTTTACGCAGGTAATCGTCATAAATTAGTTAAATGAATAGAATAGTTTCAATAGAACTGGTTATAAAGTTATAAAAACGCGGCGTTCGACGCTAGTTAGCTCGCGACAACGCCTATGTCACAGTTAGCTACGCGGCGGACTGTTCAGTGTTCAACTCGATGAATGGATACGATACGAACCAAGGACATGCGGACCGAACATCGTGGCTATCTTCGTCTCGCTCTAGCACGCTGGTGTGATATAAAATGTAATGTATTTACCACTCTACTGAATCTCTGACCAGGCTGATGCTGTCCTAAGTCTGGCATGCGTGTCTTCGACTCTGATCCTACGTACCTACAATTACTTAAAACTTTACGCTAAATTATTCCTTAAAATAATAATGCAACTAAAATATTATCGTGTCCTACACATATAATCTATATCTATACTTCTATACTAATATTATAAAGAGGAAAGATTTGTTTGTTTGTATTGAATAGGCTCCGAAACTACTGAACCGATTTGAAAAATTCTTTCACTGTTTGGAAGCTACACTGTTCCAGAGTGACATAGGCTATAATCTTTTTTGGAAAAAAATTAGGGATCCTTACTAAAACTCTAATAATGTAACCCAATTTAACCCAAGCTGTAAAAAAATTACCTATTGCGTGCCCTGCGAAAACGAAACGATGATAGAATAAAATATTGTACTACGACTTTGTAGATACATTATTATTTACAAAAAGTGTCGCGACAGCATATGTCTAACTATTATAGTTATGCCGCAATAAGTGTTATTTTATTTAAAAAAATGAAACAACATTATCGTTGAAATTTTTGTTAAAGACCCGAGCGGAGCCGGAGCCGGCCGCTGGTCTTCGATAAAACTGTGCCAAAATTAAACTTTGGATTACAGTAAAACATTACAGTTGGTACTAGCGCGTGTACACAGCGTTTAAGATTTATTTATTTTCACTTTCTAGTTACGTTACAGACAATATTAATGGTGTATTTAGTAAGATAGGTAGATTGGCGATGAGAGCATTATAAACTGTTTACTCATAAATCTATCAAACTAGCCTATTTGAGAGCTAGCGGTCTTCGTGCGATTAGTAAATGTAAAAAGGATTCGTTTTGGTTCGTACTAAAACTGCAAAATTTCGTAATTTAACTAACCTTAATAAATTCTAATCATGATGAAATTTTATAAGTAGGTAGGTAGGATACATATGTAAATTTTTCACTTTCAATTTCTCCACCTTAAATTTTTGTTTTCGCGCTTCCCCGACGTTATATTGAATAGTTTATTCGTAAAGGAGAATATAATATTAGACCTGTTGATAATTGATACACATGAAATAATAGAAACTCGCCACTTTTACTATCATTTTCAGTTGGTCAAATATGATCAAATTAATTTATTCATTATTGACAGCCTAAATTTTGAAATTATGCAACAAACCCTCGATGTCAAAAGAAACCGGTGACTATTGAAGACTAGATTGGGATGTTTTCTAGTTTTCAACTACAGCAATATAAAAACGTAGTGCTTATGGGATCCAGTACTCGCCTATGAGTTCCACCTCTTGTTTTCGCAAATAAAGAAAATCTTCTTTTCCGATCATTGAAAAGGCTCTCTTCTAAATAAATAATACATCTATCCATGTTCGGTACACGTTTGTTATTCGATTTCGAAGGTCGATTCTTCGTTATTTTTCCAATCCTTTCCACATACAGTTTATTTTTCTCTTTTTACAGAAAAACATGGCGGACCCGCCGGAAATCGAAGAAGCGACGTCAACAAGAAGTAATTCACTTAAAATATCCCTTCCTACAGTACTGTGCACGCCTGAAACTTCAGATATTGATTCGGTTAAAATAAATTCGTTTGTTACGTCCGATTCGAACTTGTCTTTACCGTCCAACTTAGGTACACCCACGTCTCCCTTAAAAGCGTCCTCTCCCATGTCTTTACCGACCTCTCCGTTCACAAAAATATATTCCCAATCGAATTCCCTCGGTAATTCAAAAACTCAAGAAGATGGACCGAAGAGCCTAATCAATAGTAGCTCGGCGACCGGTAAGTTTTGTAAACAACTTGTTAATATTCAAAGCTTGTTTACCTTCTAAGATGATTACTAAAGATTTCATAGAAAATGAGAATGATTATCACAAATACATAATAGAAACGGATATATTAGAGCAACTTCTAATTTTATCTTATCTTATACCTTTAAACGAACAATTCTTTTATATTAATATATATGTATATAATCTGAATCTCGGAAACGGCTCCAACGAATTTCATAAAATTTAATATACAGGAGATTTCGGGGGCGATAAATCGATCTAGCTACGATTTATTTTCAGAAAATGTTTTTTTATTCGTGTTTTCAATAATCAACTCTTCCCGATATCTATTGGCGAATAATAATACTATTTTTCTTAATTGAGGGCAAATAACAAGATGGCGTTATAAAAAAAAAAACATCTAGTTTTATCTCATTTGAGTCATTACCATCTCTATAAGCTATAAACTCATGTAGAACCATTCGTAAGATTCATTTATTTGAAACGAGATTTCGTTGTAGCGTGTTAGCCACAAAGGTCACTAGAACATTTTTGTGAACACAAAATATAAGTCTAGACAAGGACCTTTATTTAATGGTGGCTTTTTGTCTCTGCTATATTAAATCAGTCTAGTTATAAACGTTTAAGTAACAGATTCGGTCTATATTCAGATATAATTATTTTATGCAAGAAATCGTATGATTTATGAGCATTAACATTATGAAAAATGTTTAAAAAAGGCCTACCAAACTATAGTTAAAAAAAATCTTTAATTCAGTTCTAGACATGGCCTGCGGTTTTATTTGGGTAAATATGATATTCACAAATAATGCAAGTCGTTGCACTTTCTAGGATAAATATTTGCTTATATCATTCTCCAGTCCATAAACAACCAGTGGATTTTTAGTTCCGTTAAGGCGTAAAATCATGAATCAGCAAACCTTGTTCTTATTTAATCAGAATATAAGTCTCCGATGTGTTAATCCAGGTCATAAAATATATTTCATTAAAATCCGCAAAGCTATTTTTTCGTTATTAAGTAATAAAAATTCAAACATATATATCGTCGGCTTATTGCAAGAAGTCATTAAGTGACATATTCATTATTTTGGGAAAACGGCATTTTAGTTGGAATTAGTTAGTGGTTATGTTGATTAGCCCATATTATCCTTCATACATAACTACAGTGAGAAAAACTGAATGTTTTGGATTGCTTAATATGTATATTAATTAAAACAAGTGAGGGTCGGTAATCATATAACATTATATATTATTTATAAACTAAAACTAAAAGTTAATGACTTCTTGCTACTNAGTGAATCTTTGTAAATGCCTGACTTCCAAAGTTGCAATTATCAATTTTCTACCAAAGACGTAACGGCTAAAATTGGCCAGCTAGAAATTTGTGTGTTTTTGCATTTTGTAGAATATGCAAAAATGAGCCCATTATAGATAAAAACGCATTTAGTGATTTTTTGCAGTTAATGAGTTCTTGCAATAAGCCGACGATATGTACATTTCTAATATATTTAAATAATTTTATTAACGTTATGAAGTATCTCATTAATGAGTTTTTCTACTACAGTTCTGGAAAGTAGAATATAAATTTTATTCTAAATTTAAACAATATATACCATTACCTAATTCTCAATCCTATCGCTCAATATTGTACGTGTAATTATATCGGCAACAGTAACGAGAGATTATTAAATGATCGTTCACTGATTAGACTGTTTTCGAATTAATTGATCAAACGTACCTAAAGGGAAGCTCGATCTAAATTATTATTAAATTCAGGTGTCGTGTTTGTCAAATGTTTGTATTCGGTAAATATAATCGATATTCGAGAATTATCTTGTGTAGTCTTAATTTACACAGATAATACAATATTCAGGAGAGTTTAGTACGCGTATACGTATGACTATAGCTATCAGACGTTATCTCTCTAAATAAAGATGCATTATTGAATAACCTAAATTAAAACTTTATTTTATAATTTCGTTATAAAATCTAACGAGAGTTACCGGAGAGTGGAGTTTGCCGCCTAATGTCTTTTGCCAATATTCATAAGCTCACTTCATTGCTTGCCATGTTATAATGGCTTAAATTATCTACAAACTTTAATCGATTACTGCGAGAACAGTTTGACTTTATAATGAAGATGCTTAATTAATTGTCTAATTAGATTATTCTTTCAAGAAGTTATTTTATTTACATGTAATGAATGTAACGTTATAATCATAAAGAAGCGAAGTAGCCGAGTAATGAAAACGACTTCTTATTCTTCTAATTGAAAAACGTATGTTATTTTTAATCTCTATTAGGGATGTAGAGAATATTACGAAAATTTGCGTTTTTTTTTTATCAAAAGTTTATCTTACAAAACAAGAATGAATGAAGAAAGAATGCTGCTTCAAAACAAGAATACCAAAGAGCTTTACGTAGCGTACAGCGCTCTAATTACGTATTTAAAAAAACCTTCATCATGGAGGTTACTAATAAATCTTTGAGTACATATTTAATTTAGATCCTACTCTAAGTAGATAATCATTGCGGTTCTTTTCAATTTAAAGTACCTACTCATATTGAGATAAACCTTTTTTCGTACATGGAAAATGTGGAACCTTCAGCAGATTCATTCATATTCAGGCGCAGTTGAGCGGAGAGCGCGGTTGAGGGCGGGCGCGTGCCAAGTCTCCTGCTTGCATAACAATGACGATTGTTATTCGATTTCTTTTTTTAATTTAAGTGCAAAGACGTTTCGTAATAAAACTAGTAAAAAATTAAATAATTGAACGAAGGCTGACTGAAATAAATTTCACGCGCTGAAAATACGTAATTTTGCGTAGAATTATTGACAATACAATGTTTATTATGGAAATATAAATAAGCACGTGATCGGCAGCAACATGACGAGTTCAAAAGAATGTGTTTTGTAAAATTTCGTGACTTATCAACGGAGTGATCATGCATTTAATTTGTTTGTATTGAAGCGGCCGAATGCCTTGTTGTGGTTGCTGGTGGAATGGGAGACAGAGGCATCGACCGCCCTATCCCGAAACTGCAGGTTAGGCTCTATATTAAACTACTCCTCATAGATATTTCCTGGTTCTGACTATCGGCCTCATGCATATTTCCTGGTTCTGACTATCGGTCTAGAACACTGTTCAAATTTACTTAAGAATTAACACAAGCAATATTAATCAATGAATAGATGTTAAAAAAATACACTAAAAGCACGTGAGTATTAACTGTGTGAATTCAAAAATCCATATTGCAGCAACGCTGCCGTAAAACTCATTGTAATCACTAGGTGTGTTATTACATATTTTTTTAACCATATTTTCCCAAAGGTAATTTTCACTGTAAAATTGTAATTTATATGCGGTATTAACGTATTACTAAAACAAGTGCGAGAAGGTAACACCTTTTCCTCGTTCGCAACGAGTGTATTACGACCCAGACCCAGAGGATTAATACGGATTCTGTATGAGCGTTATCATAATAAAAGTAGAGTGTTAAAAGGTAAATACGGTTCCATGGCTTATTTAATTTTCGCTAAATAATTTAGTCATAATAAAATTGGTCAGTAAAATATCCTACCATATATGTATGCATGTGTCTTTGTGCTCGCTATCTCCATAATATCTGAACAAATTTGAATGATGTATTGAGATATATTTGGGCTTACCCTTAACTTTTGACATACTGAGGTATATTTAGACTTAACTTACCGTTTGACATAATATATTTAAATTGGTCGACAAATAAAAAGTACCAGTAAATTAAACCGTGCGAAATCGGTTTAAACCGTGCGAAATCGCAGGCAGGCATATTATTAAAACTTCCTATAATACTAATATTAAAGTTTAACTACATATAAGAAAATGTTTATTGTTTAAATGATTGAATCAAACGAAGCTAGAACCGGTTTTTTTTTTATTGCTTAGATGGGTGGACAAGCTCACAGCCCACCTGGTGTTAAGTGGTTACTGGAGCCTATAGACATCCACAACGTAAATGCGCCACCCACCGTGAGATATAAGTTCTAAGGTCTCAAGTAAGTTACAACGGCTGCCCCACCCTTCAAACCGAAACGCATTACTGCTTCACGGCAGAAATAGGCAAGGTGGTGGTACTCACCCGCGCGGACTCACAACAGGTCCTACCACCAGTAAAATTTTACTAATACTTCTGGTGGTAGGACATCTTGTGAGTCCGCACGGGTAGGTACCACCAATCTATCTATTTCTGCCGTGAAGCAGTAATGCGTTTCGGTTTGAAAGGTGAGGCAGCCATTGTAACTATACCTGAGACCTTAGAACTTATGTCTCAAGGTGGGTGGCGCATTTACGTTGTAGATGTCTATGGGCTCCAGTAACCACTTAACACCAGGTGGGCTGTGAGCTCGTCCACCCATGTAAGCAATAAAAAAAAAGAAAAAAATAGCTTTTGACATACTGATATAGATTTAGGCTTCACTTACCGTTTGAAATATTTAAATCGGTCGACAAATAAAAAGTATCAGTAAATTTTAAATCGTGCGCAATCGCATGGATTCCCCAGCGTTAATTGTTAAAACTTCCTGTAATACTAATATTAAAGTTTAACTACATATAAGAAAATGTTTATTGTTTAAATGATTGAATCAAACGAAGCTAGAACCGGATATAATTTTACTAATAATAAACTATAAAAATATTAAATATAATATATCGTTGTCAGTTAGATACTTATAAAGTAATAAGGGGCATATTTAATTTATCTATATTATCCGCTCTTAACTCAAAATTAATTGCACGTATTAAAACTGTTTTCCTAGTTTCCATTAAATTTTGAATGCGTATCAAAATATTCCAGAAGCTGAGATTCTATTTGAAAATAATTAATTTCATTTATATTACGGATACAATCCGCGTGGGCGCTCCTTGTCAACGCGGTTTAAATATTAAAGAAAACAATATCGACGATTCGATCGGTCTGAAACCATAAATATTTTTCTCAGAACAA